GCCATCATCCCTTGCGACATCTTTTGAAACAACAATTCTTCTTTGATGGGGTGCTCCGAAACACCCCGGCAGACGTATCACCGCTCGGTGGTCGGTTGCTTCTCCCTCCGGGGTATTATGGGTGCAACCCTGCCAGGCCGATCTGACATTCTCATTCACATCATTATTACGAACATTTAAATCAATCGGTTCTCGACTCGCCGCATCAACATTCGATACAAATTAGTGGTCTAAAATGCATGGCCGCCCAATAGTTGAGGTTTGAAGGTGTCATAAGAACAGATTCAATTAAAAGAACACCTGTACGCCGATCCCAATTTGCTTGTGTCTCCAATCGCCTGCAGAGTATGAATAAAGTTGACGGTCATGTATATTGCATTTGTGCTAGGCCGCTGAGTTATGCCATCATTTATTATGCAATAGCTGCATTGATGTATTGTTAAGCAGACTGCTCGCATAATTTGGTACCCGCACTCATTCAAGAGATAATTGATTTGACTGTTGCCACACACTCCACCGTTCCTACAGAACGATCCTCGCCAAAGCCAGTGGGCGGCGGACTATTGCAACCGGCCTACACAGGCTTGCACCACGGCACCCTCAAGTGTGATCTATCCTGCGTCTCTTTATCCGCGAACAATTACGTGGATCCAATACAATTCTGTGTTGCACGAGGACCCGAACCGTAACGCATTTGGTACACCTAACGGTCAATCAAAGGCTACGATTAGCTGCGTGCCCCCGCGAGGGTCGACTCAAAGTCGAAAGATAGTCGCCGTCCACGCATTATATAAGTAGTGTCGTAGTTAATCTCTACTAGGATTCTTTAAAACATTTTTTCGCTACTTTATATCTTCGCTTTTATTAGTAACTCTTCTTGCTGTTTATAATCGCTCCTCGTGGTCCGCCAGCGATATAATTGCAGTTGCACCTCAGAACCCGTACTAATCTTCCTTGCACTGCTTAATATCAGGCTCGCTGGTCCAGTTCCTGTATCTTGATCTGCTACATACTGGCGAATCAAAAGAGGCGCTCTG